CTTTTCTTTAGGAGCAAAATAACAAAAATAGAATTGAATGGATGGAAGACACGACCGGAGTTGTTACAAGAGGGGGGGAGGCTCATTTACCCCTATAAGACAGATATGTTGAGAGCCTAGTGACCATTATGCCAAAGCTATCACCACAAGTGTGGGGGATAGGAATCGCTAAACAAATGGCGCCACTAATTACCGCATAGATCATCGCACCAACTATTTCAAACAACTTATATTCGCGCGCTTAGTTTACTGTCCGACTGGGGCGCGATATTTCATGGGAAGCATTGCTTTCTGGGATTGCCTTTACATTATCAGCCTTCATTTTGCATTCAGACTGAACGAAGAACTACGTATGGGAAGAACGAACTACTCCGAGGTACCCAGAAGTCAACCTTTAGTGTACACACAAGACATTGATGATAAAGGGTCTATGAACACGAGCGTTTATGAAGAGTTCCCTTTTCGAGCTCCCTGATAGCTCCTTCTAAGAAGACGAATGTCCTTCTGAAGCCATTACTACTCTCATGCTACTTGCTCGCAGTCTGTCAAATATCCGGCAAGGGCTCAGTGTGTGTGAAGCCTATATATTCGACTTTTCTAGAAAGAACGATTCCTCAACTGAACTATTCTTCACCTCTCACTAGGCCTGTGATGAAGAGTGGAGCTTTTCGTGTCGATCATTTCTGTTTTGTAAGTGCGCCCCAGCATTCCACTTTCATTTAGAATCATATTGGCGGATTGTGATTGTGAATGTGGCCTATACAATGAATTGCGGTGGTCAGTCAATGTACAAATCAGCGCTTTTAACATCCCAGTCGAATCCGGTACCAGTTAGACGACTCTGGAGCATTGGACAACTTGCTTGACCTAGACAAATACCGATGCGGGGCTGGACTGTTGTCTTGGCAGTAGCGTGCAACTTGTCACTACACCATCTACGCCTGGAAGTTCATAAAAGTATATCAAGTCCGTCGAAGAGCAACAGATTTGGAAACCGATGTTTCCAAATCTTTAGGTTTCTTGCAGAAACGAAGGCAACTGCCTCGCTCTATTGAGAACCGCGACGCCACACGCAGCACAGCATGTGTCGGTCCCTGCACGATTTCTGCTTTCTAAAACGCATTTCATTTTGTGTTGATTGTACCTAATTTCGTGTTTTATTTTAAAAGTTTTGACTGACCTGTACTGTAAGTGAGTCCTTTGAGGCTAGATCTACCATAAAATAAGTTTTGCTGCAGTGTAGCAGAAACTGTGGTCTATTTAGATTTCTCAAGTTCTTCTGTCGAGAACTAAAGTTTGCAGTTTTGCTTTCAATCGTAAAAGTTATGCAAGAATCGCAGATTTTATATTCAACCGTGGAGTGGGAATTATAGAGGCATCCCATGATTTGTAATAACTATATACTTTGTGGAAACGTATCGATGCGTGTGTTTGTTTGTTTGATTATAAAGCTGTGTAACTACTTGTATCCATATTAAAGTGTTTAGAATATAATATTCTTCAAATACTCCGAGATGTTATAAAACTACCTATATCTGATGTTTCGGGAAGCCCTTCACGGAACTATTGGTGTCCTGTTGGCAGTCTTTTCAACTCCGTGGAAACCCTTTCTTTTGCAGTCCTGTTCATATTTAATCTCGTTACCTTTCACTGCGGAAGTGCAATCCATACAGTGGGGCTTTCTTCTCGGATTATGTCAGAATCCCAAGCTTAGCTGTATAGTTACTTTTTATATTTTATCTGAATGGAGTCTAGAACTTCATTCAACGACATTTTAATTCTATAAGCTTAGAAACCTAATAATTTTCCAGTCTCTAAATCAAAAACGAAGTAATTTAACGTCCCCTTTTGATAACATAGTCGGTCTTCAATCACTAGACACCATGAATGGTAGGGGTACAAAGTTGTGAGTTCCATCAAGGTGGTATAATAGAACGGAAAAGGCTGGAGGACGTATCAGTGCCCAAAAAGTTGTCGAAAAATGTTTGTGGAAGGCTCAGGCGAGAACTGAATCATGCGAAACCCTTTGGGGAGGTTAGGATATCACAAATTCACAGATCATTTTCACGAGAGGGTCTTTGAAATCTAACTTAGGGGTTTAAACGTTCCACATGTGAGGATGATTTGTGCAATCGTTTGCCTTCAACTATGAATAGTCGTTCCGGCTTGCCCTTGAGTTTATATACAAGTAGATTTAGAGTTAGGAGAACCCTTTCAAAGTAACAGATACTATTAGATACTTGTACTATTCGTCCTGATTACTCTATGAGCATTGTGCAGCCTTCAAAACCGATACCTGTCCAGTTTGGTTTTTATTTTTTCTTCTGTTCTCCGTATTTACAGACTACAATGCTAGCTGGTTGTTCGTGAATATTGTTTCTACTTCTGGTCATCATTTGGACCGTAGAATTTTTTTCAGGTAAAACAATGACGAAATTAAAGATTCAAGAGCTCCGTGGTAAGAAGAAGGAGGACCTCATCAAGCTACTTTCAGAGCAAAGCTCGGAATTAGCCTCACTTCGGGTATGTTTTAATCAGTGGCATATTTTATCAGCCAACTGTAAATGTTTTTAAAAGACTTTTCAACTCAACTGATACAGTCGGTGCTCCCCGTATTAGCGCGAAGTAGTAATGAAAAGTAGTTGAGCGGATAGCTTGTGCACCCAGAATCCTATAGTATTAGGTGTTCATAATCCAGAGGTCGGGTTATGTTAACTAGAAAAAATGAAATAAAAGTAGAGAATATATACTTGAGTTATCCGCACAACCTTAGGCCTGGGTGCCTTATGCTGCACCCATTTTTCTGGGAATTCCTTTGGGAATGCCCCACCATGGCCTTTGAAAAAAAAATTATACGTGAACATGTATTTATGATGTTCACGATTCGTTAGCTGTGTCTCAATTTCTCTGTGCTTTTAGTCAGAGTTTTATCCTTTTGCAGAATCTTAGCAAGATTAAAGCTAATGCCAAAATATCATTCTTTCTCTTGAGTTTTTTGTAGGGTGAAAGGAAATCTCTGGTAGGCTGCATAAGGACCTCTCTGTGTAAAGTTCGGCCTGAAAAAAATTCGAGAAACAAATTATTATATGCTCTTCGACATCACTAAATCATTTGAAATGTGTTCTCTATGGAAAGAATGGACTTTCCAGGTAGCGAAGGTGACCGGTGGAGCACCAGCAAAGTTGTGCAAAATTAAAATCGTAAAGAAGAATATAGCCCGCGTTCATACGATCATCCATCAAACTCAGAAGCAAGAGCTCCGCAAGCTGTACGCGGTGAGTTATTATCTTTTTATGTAGTACGAGAGTAATGGTCTGTGAAGATATTTGCGCGAGGTGCATATTCATGATCGGTAATGTTCAGAAGTCGCAACACAAACCCATCGATCTTCGTAAGAAAAAGACTCGTGCTATCCGACGAAGGCTGACGGCTCATGAACAAAGTCTCCGCACGGCTAAGCAGCTGAAGAAGCAGAGAGCTTTCCCTATGCGTAGATACGCTGTTAAGGCTTGAAGTGTGTTATATTTCTACTGTTACGTAAAATGAATTGTTGATTTTGGTAATCTTTTTTGTACATGCGGACCAAAGAGAGAAATCGTGGTATGGTGACAGGGATTGGTGCGAGCTATAGTCACGATCGGTTTTTAGAGAAAGTTGGTGATCTGGATGAGTAGCTAATTCTTTTTTGAAGGCACTGTATGCAAAAAAATGGTTCTTAGAATATTTTCTTAGGATTTACCAGTGGACTGCAAGAAGGCAAATAATTTCGTACAACTTCTTCCTTACTACTTTTTCTAAGTCTTGTGTTTCCTAAGTTCCGCCTACTTTCGAGCTTTTTCGTTAATTTCCACTATTCTGCAAAATAACTTCCATTATTATAGTAAAGAAAGATAGCTTAGAATGACCATGAGCTGTGCCTTTGAGTTTATCTGTAATAGAAACGTTCCGAACTGTTACAGGCTTCCGAAGTAACCCTATTCTGACTACGGGCTCCAACGAGCCTCGGCATGATTTAGCTTGATATGATTTTGTGTTCAACTCGCCCAAAAGTCAGTCAATAAAGTAGTAACAACCTCGTGAGGGTTGAACACAAAAGTAACCCTGTTGTTATTTTTTCTGCTGATGAGGTAGATGGCTTTGTTTCGTTGATGTGATTGTTAGTGGATTATCGATTATTTATTGCCGTTGGTC